AGGACTGAAGGCATTAAGTGATAAACTGGAAGACTTGTATAATTCTGCTGAGAAAGGAAGGTGTCGTGGACTGGGGTAATGACAGGTAGGTTTACAAGGAGGAGATGGATTCAGCTTTCTATGGGATGAAACCAGTAAGACGTATGTGGTTAAAGGAATGACAGGTGCTGAGAATGAGGCCGAGGTTTTAGTTTGAACAAGTGATAGTTGTGATGAAATGACAGTGGGGCAAATGAGTTAAGGATATTGTCCAAAGAGGGTGTGAAGTGATGAGCTATGGCTATAAAATAGGTAGGGAAGGAAATAAAGACAAGAAAGGCATCACAAATAAGAAAAAACAGCAACAGCTTTCATAGTCTCCTATTGTTTCAGAAATAAAGCAGATGTAGTAACTGAATAGAAAATATGGGAAGAGAAGATGCAGTATGAGAATGAGAAATATGAATTTAAGATTTCTGAGTTGGAATGGTCTCAGGGGAGGTAGAGGCTCAAGGTATAGTCATAAGGAGGATGAGGGACTGAAATAGTTTCTCCCAAACCAAAAGTGCAAGTTTTGGAAAAGCCTGCATAAGAATTGCCATATATAACAGTTGGGGAAGAAGAGACCTAGAGGTTTATTTTAATCAAACATATCCAATAATAGGTAAAGCTGAGTTTTTAATCAGTGTTTCTTGAATTTCAGATGCTTCATTGAGCCTTAAAGTTTTAGGAGGAGCCAGGCACAGTGGCTCACACCTGCAATCCCAGCACTTCAGGAAGCCAAGGCATGAGGATTGCTTGATTTCAGGAGTTTGAGACTAGCCAGGGCAATGCAGTGAAACCCTGACTCCACAAAACAAACCAAACAAACAAAAAACTAGCCAGGGATGGTGGTGCCTGCCTGTAGTCCCAGTTACTTGGGAGGCTTATGGGAAGATAGCTTGAGCCTAGGAAGACGAGACTACAGTGAACTGTGATTGCATCACCGCACTCCAGCCTGGGTGATGAAGAGAGATCATGCCTCAAAAAGAAAAAAAAAAAATGCAAACTTACTTGAAGGAAGGAACAGAGCACTAGAAAGACAAGTGGAATAATGAGTTGAAGAGAGTAGTGAGAAAGGTTAAATAAAAAAAAAAAAAAAAAAAAAAAAAAAAAAAAAAAAAAAAAAAACTAAAGAAAAGCAAGTGGTTTAGGAAGAATAGCCAGTTGGTCAACTCTGGTTCTTTGCTGCTTTGGACTAAGGTCAGTCACCTGTTGGGGATGAATGGAATAGTAGTTTAATATTCTCTAAGGTGGGTCCCTGAAATGAATGGAAAAAAAAATACAGACTTTTTGGAACCAGTCTTCACTATTGTAAGATTCTAAAGAGTCTTCTTCATTTAGTCTAGTAGATAAACAAAATTATAATAAAAAAAGACATATGTCAGTATGTGTGTATATATATAGATACATAAATATATGAAAGAAAGGTTAATATCAAATTATACATGTGCGTTTACATTTTTCTTAATGCAAGATATAGTTCCAGCTCCTCACGATGTTTCCTTTAGGGAATTTTATGAAATTGAGTGGGAGAATATAGGTGAAGAGGACTCCCAATTAATATCCTGCATTCTCTCTTCTGTATTGTTATTTTTTTCCATGAAGTGAATTATTTTATTATCTTAAAAACAAAAACATTTTTAAAAGAAAATTATTGCATGATATGGCAAAATCATGCTGGTGGGGTACCAGCTCTTCAAAGTAGCATTAGAGCTTAGTCATCTGTAGATGCTTCAGGTTATAGGTAGTCTAGTACATTCAGCTTCCTCAGGTTCTGTAGGAGACAGGACCACCTATATGATTCGCAAGATGGAGGGCAGTGCAGAATGAGAATGTAGGGTCTCTTGTTAAAACATTATTATGAATTTTCAAGAGAACAACAGTGGAACATTAAGCCAGGCTTGGGGGTCCTTCCAAGTACAGGGCTTTCTGCAACTGCATAGTTCACACCCAAGATGCTGTGCCTGGCTGTAGGCATTGAAGGCATGGGACTCCAGTTCTGGTAAACATAAAGTAGTATTCTATATCTATTTTATAATTATCTGTAAATTCCCAAAATTCAGGAAGGAGAAGTTTTTCTGGGCTTGGGAAAATCAGTTGCTATGCTAGTCACAAACATGAGTAACTATAGCTATGTGGAACAATTGCCATGAGCAAGCTCCGGAAGACAGTTGCTCTCAGCTCTTAACTGCCCTCAGCCAGCAAAAGGCAGGAAGACCTGTTTCTAGTGTTATCTAAGGCTCTGTACAGTGGGTAGGGGTGTATCAGAATGAGGGGGGCTGGTAGAAATTCCTCTCTAGCAAGCTGGGAATCAATATGTGATTTGCCCCTGGGTCTACTTTTTTTTTTTTTTTTTGCAACTAGCCTTTATGGAGTTAGTGGCAAATCCATGCTCCACAGTTTTCCACGAAACGCTGGATTTTTTCCAGGTCCCTGAGTTCTGCAATAAGATACACAAAAGTCAAGGGAAATCTCTTCTTAAACACACAGATGCTCTCTTGGAGGATGAAAATTACATTAAAGTGAACCATAGAAGAGAGTGGGTGGAGAAATTTGTTCTGCTTTGGAACATTCTTTAATTAAGTATATTTTCCATGGTTCATGAGAACTTGTGAGAGCTCCGATTAGAAAATTTAAGAAAAAAAAAAGATTCCCACCATCTCAAATTGTCGTGAATAATTGATTCACGCCAGTGTGATCATAATAAGATCATACTTTGGATGCTGTCCATCATTCCCTGTCTTTATGAAAAAGATATTAATGTATCATTTATGTGGAGGACTGTCTTTGCAGGTTATCTTCATGATATTCCTTCAGCATTGCAAAGGCACTGTCATAATTACAAAGGGGAGTGATAATGTAGGCAGCAGTGGCAACAACAACACACCCAACGAATGGTGTGATTATTAATAATTACCATTTTCTTCCTATTCTTTGTGAATTGGGTTCTTATTATTGTACTTCTCCCATATTGAGTAGATTTTTAAAAGTCTTATCAAATGGTTGCATGTGAAAATATTTACTACTGAATATGTAAGATTAAACCCATATTCTTACACAGTTAAGTTTACAATATTTTAGCCAATTTGTCGTAGTTGATTTTTCATCTAGCTTCACATTTTTTAAAGCACAAGTTATTCAGCATTTTTTATTCAAATACATGTAACTTGTTTTTTGATTTCTAAATAAAAGGTTGTCTTTTAAATTAAATAAATTTTAAAGATTTTACCCCAATGCAATAAAAACTATATATAATAAAAAATCTTTTTTAAAAACAGAATTGAAATAATATTGATTTTTACCATAAAGTCTACATGTGTTTGGACTAATTCAAAGTAGGCTGAAGAGTTTCAAGAACTTCTGATTATTTCAACATTAAATTTGAAGCTAGTTGCCAGTCTGGTTCCTGGATAGTGAAAGGGTGTTGATATTATATTAATTCCCAGGTGTCACAGAAAATCAAATAGCAGAACCTTGAATTAGTCAATCATTGTGTGAAACTGTGTTGAGTGTGATATGGCTGTGATTCTTTACGCCTTCTGCTCCACCTTCTAGCTATGTGGTCTTTAACTACAGTTGTTCTTTCAGTATCTGTGGGAGTTTGGTTCCATGACCCTTGAGCATACCCCAATATTCGGATGCTCATGTGCCTTATATAAAATGGCATGGTATTTGCAAAAAACTGATGCATATCTTCCAGTATACTTTAAATTATCTCCAGATTACTTATAATAACTAATACAATGGAAATGGTATGTAAATAGCTGTTGTACTGTATTGTCTAGAGAATAATTACAAAGAAAAAGTTTGCACATGTTTGGGATAGTCACATCCACCTTTCCCCCGTGCTGGGTGTTTTTGATTTGTGGTTGACTGAATCCACAGATTTGAAACCCATGGACACAGGAGCTGATTTTAGTGTCTTATTTGCCCTTCTAAGTCGTGACTTCCCAGTACCAGACTGATCTAGAGCTTCTTTTCATTTGTTTGAAATCACATTGATTCTTGACTTCTTTAAGTCTAACAGCCTTACCTATTTCACTCAGTCCACCTTATACTATCTATTGATATACCTTTGCCTTTTTTTTTTTTTTTTATCATGGAGATCTGCTCCATTCTAAGATTTTGAAACGAGAAATTCACATTCTAATTTCTCCCTGCCCTTTCCCTTAATAATAATGTCTAATCTGCTAATTATGTTCTTTTCCTCTGTAGTATCTTATCTCCTTTTTGACTTTACCTGACTTTTTTATGGTCAGCTGGAATCTGCAAATGATCTTTCACGATCTCCCTAAATTCCATAGTCTTATGCCATTTCTGCCATGCTTATGCTGAAGCTGTGGTAACCAGACCATTCATCAGTCTTCTCACTTCAGGTTCCAAGCCTGCAGGGCACAGTTGAAGAGTGTTATGTAGTGGAAGGATGAATTATAGTATCAATATGTGTCCTCTAATCTCAATTGAAATGTCTCTGCTTCTCAGTTTTTAGTTGGTTTCCATTTTTAGTTCATTCTTGCCTTTTTATTTTATGACACTTATTGTTCTATAAGGATTCAGATTATGTTCTAGTCCCCTCATTTCTGGGATATTGTAGTTTATATCTAAGCACATCTTCTGGTAGTCAAAACCAGTTCTGCTATGCCTGATACCTTAAGCCATTTTGGTCTATGTCCTGGAAGAATTAGTAAATACTACCACAGTAGTCTTTTGATACTGATAGGTCTTGTATGTCAGTGCAGTGGCCTCTTCTCAATCCTCATTCTATCTGTAGCGTTTGACAGGGCATGTTTTCTGCTTGAAATTCACTCCCTATGCCGCTACTCCTCTCACCACTTTCTGCCTCTATAGTTCAAATTGACTTCCTTTCAGTCTCTCAGATGCCATTGGGTTCCTTTCTGCCTCTGGTCTTTTGCATACCAGATCTTCAGAAAGGCCTTCCCAGACTCACATCTAAAATAGCTTTTCCTGTTTCTTACAACACCCTTTTCTTGTTAGTTGTTGCCACAATTGTAATTTATTTGTGCAATTCACATGTCTAATGTTTGCTGGCTCTATGTTGCACTCCCAGCAATCAGCATAATTCCAGGATCACAATGAACTTTCAGTAAACAATTTTGGATGATATATTTTAAAAATAAAAAGAAATTGATTTTTTTCTATACTACTTCCTTTCATGAACTTTTGCCATAACCAAAATATTTTACTTGTGCCTCTGTTCACTTGTCTAGTATTTTCCTTCTCCCAGGCTTCACTCATGTTACCTGTCTCTCCATGTCTCTTGCTCAATAAGCAAGGCCTATGTGATTTCTGCCTCATCTGGGATTTGCAGTGTTTATCTGTATCTCTCCTAAAGGACTCATTAGTTTCAAAATTGTAATACATGTGTTTATGACCCTCTTCTCCATTACTGGATTGAAGGCCCCTTAAGGGTAAGATTGGTGTTTCATTCAGCTCTGTAGTCCTCATATCCCTCAGCCCAGGGCCATGCAAAGTTCCCCCCAGTACATCTATGTTAATTGTTGAACAAATGGAAGTCTTTACCTTTTGACTACATTTAGCTTCTCTGTAGGAGACTGGCAGCTTTCAATTTGTTAAGCTGTGGTAATTTGTTTAAAATGTGGATTGACTATCTTTGCTTCTCTTAAGGAGCTAATTTTCTCAGTCCACAGTTCATGCATATTAAAGGATGTTTTTATTAGTAATATTAACATGGCTTTTTACAGTTAATGAAGTTTTTCATATTTTGATCTAACCTGGCCTATCAGCAGCTCAAACAGTTCGGATAAGTATCTTTATTACTTATCAATAATACTGAACTCCAGAGTCAAGCAAGTGGCCTAGGGCCATGCACCGAATACCTTGATTTTTCCCATACAGCTTTAACCCTAGAGTGATTCTCAAATGGAGAGTGGAGGAGAGATAAGGATAGGGAAGGGACTTTGTGATGTATATGGTCCTCTAGAGAGTATGTTAGAATCACAGGAGAGGGGACAGTTTTTCCAAGTAATAACCTTATTCCAAGCTCCCAGTTCTAGTGCACTTTTCTAGTTGAAAATTAAGGCTCTTTTACTACTAATATTAATAAGATTGCATTCTGCCCTTGTGTTGGCCAGAGAAAAGTTGGAAAAATTGCAGTATACCATATTCCTTCAGAATTTCATCTTTGTTGTGCGAAATTCAAAACAGTTCTTGGGCTTTATATATATATATACGTGTGTGTGTGTGTGTGTGTGTGTGTGTGTGTATGTGTGTATGTATATATATATGTGTGTGTGTGTGTGTGTGTGTGT